CTGGGCCTGTAATACTGTCCACACATGCCTAGCTTCACATCTAGAAGCACTGTGAGTCCCTACATTTGCTGAGCTCCCTGTATGCAAAGTCTGAGCACAGCCAACAAACAAGAAGTTCCTGTGGAGTTCTCTGAGTGGCTGAGACTTTAAGGACCAGAGGTCTTTTCCTCGTGGCTCCGCACAGCCTTACTCTGGTCTGTACGAGGAAAATAGCCAATTTCCCTGTCTCTGAGCCTATTTATACTTCCAGCCTTCCTTGTTTTAAGTGTATAGAAATTTTACTCTTTGGCAGTGGACGTTTTTGTGCCTGTCCCTTTTATGTGTCATCCCTGGGCCTGCTTCCCTTTCACTCTGGCATGCTTTTTGCAGCCTCTGAGCCCAGTGCTTCTGCCCTGGACCACCCTAGCAGCCTCAGCTGTGGGTGTCCTTCCCTCTGGTTTGGTTTCTTCTTTCTCCGTCTGCTGCCAAGAATCCCTCCACCAGCCAAGGCGGCCCTTGTTCCTGCATGTATTACCTGGGGCAACAGTGAAGAATAAATAAGCTGATCCATTCCATTTCCCTGGATTCCTGTAAGTGTTCCTAGAACAGACCTCTGTGGAAAGAGACTCTGAGGGGAGAGAAACCTGTTTTGATATCTCTCTTAAAGGTAGCTGATTCTTAGTCCCATTCAAGCCCTAAAAGGAGTCAAGGGTAAGGTTTTTAAGCCTCCACCCTCCTTTTAAACATGTATACTGTCTTGTCCCAGTCCAACACAATCATTTAACAAAATACACTTTCGTAAGTCTTACATTCAGTCTTCCTGTAGTAGATAGTTGATACAGAGGCTGAGTAGTGACTGTAAAAGTTGACTTTAGTTCACTGAGATCACACCTTCTTGGCAAATGTTTTTCCTTTAATTTTAAGTAAAATTGTAAGTGACATCAGTAATCAACCCAACTTTTGTTCAAACAATGTTATTCTAGATGAATGTGCTCTTTTTCTCCCCTGCTCCTAAAAATGGAAGAGAGACAGAGTTCTCCCGTCTGACAACCAAAGGACAGGCACCTGCCTCCCAGCCTAGATGGGTGACTCAGCTCCACCCAAATCGACATTTCCCGGCTTCCCTGTCCGGGTGGGGTGAGGCTGGGGGTGACCAGGGAAAACACTGGAAGGAAGGAGCCTTCACAGCCTCTACTTCCTTTTGGTGTTCCCAAGTGTCCTAGGCTTTGACTTAAGAAGTAGAGAGGCGTGTTTAAGAGCTGGAGATAGAGCATGTGTGCGTCTTGGAAGCATGTGCTCTTGTTGGAATGGTTTCTTTTCTGCTGAAGGTAGAGGCTCTATGCCACTTACCTGGGAAAGGGGCTGTGAGCACATGGTCTCTTATCCTCCCTCAGAGTCACCTATTTTTTCAACCTGTGATGCATCCAGAGAATCTGATGAAGGGGACATATTAACTAATCATATGAAATAAAATTCATTTAGGTTCCTTTAACACAAGCAGAATTTTAACCAGGTCCATATCAAAATTGTTTCCCCGTGTTCCAAGCTAATTTCTGTGACAATTTCACTTTAGTTTGCTGGCCCATTAATCCAAGAAATGTGAGTCCCTTGACCGAGAAGTCCAGTTCTGGTATTGGAGGATTCCCGGAAGGTCCTGCACTTGCCGTGCCAAATGGCCTGATTAAACACTGATAAATGTTTCCTCCAAAAGGCAACGAGCACACATAGTTAAGTGCACAACCTTTGGGGAATTCTGCTGTTTGAAAACCTGTGCACAGCACTTTACAAGGCTATTGAGCTTGGGAAAGATACTGTATCTTGGCAAGACAGTGCCTGAGTTTTCCTTTTTGTTGGCTACCTCATTTTTTTTAAATGCATCCTCCCTGTCCCCCATCCCCTCCCCCCCCCAGATGCCTCTAAATTTTGATATTTCACAGCAAACCTTAAGTCTTTCTTGCTTTCATGTGTGGAAAGGTTGATTTGTAGCTGCTATCTTTCTCTTCCTGATAGACCTGTGGGTGGTAAAGATCTCAGGGAGTGAATATTAAAAATGAATGAGGAGAACTGGAGTAGGTTGTCTGAGGTGGGGTTTGAGAGGAACTGGGTGGGGGAGGTTTAACAAAAGGCATTGATGTTTTAAATGCACAGAAATGCCATCCATCAATAATAAATGGTGTGGCATAGAACAGATGTGCCAAATTGAGTTATTACAGCATATGGATCTCTCACAGAGGGAGAAAAGAAAGCAGCATAGCTGGTGTTTTAGAATTATCTGAGAGCTTTAGAATATGATTTTGAATACCCTGTTTTTACAAAGCTCTGATAACTGCTAGTTGGAAATACAAAAGGTTTGGAATTTCCAAATTTTTTAATTAAATTTTAAATGTTTTAAAAGAGTTATTAGTGTTTTTTTCTGAAGAGAGAGACAGAACCTGAAAATGAATTTCTGGCCCTTTATGGCTGAGTGCTTGCCATTTAAGAGCTTGTATTGTAATTATATGAGGAATGAAATTGCATTACAAAACTTAAGTCACGTGAAAGTATTACCTAGTGTTTTCTACATTTACATGGATGGTATCTCTAGGTACGTACTTAAACTACAGAGGAACACTTAGGAAACCCCCTCACGCTTTGAGATCGATGCATCACCCTCAGTATTTTGATTCATGAGCTAAATTGTATACATAGGCTCTGTATTTCACCCCACAGAGAAATATCAGCTTCAGTGTCTCAGAGAATATCACTCCCAGGGAATTGGACAGATAAAAATCTTTTAGATAAGCTGGAATATTTTGTAAGTGTAGATACTAGTGCAGAAGTCAAGCTTCGAGTTTTATTTGATCTTCTCAAGGTGTGTCACAGGCATAGCAGGGCATACGTGTGGGGGCTTGAAATGAGTCCTGGGTAGGATGGGTGTGCTCAGTGAAAACAGCAGATCCCTGGGAAGACATGTGGAAGGACTCCACTCATCTTAATATTGACCCATTCTTGCCTTTTTGGAAACTCCCGTGGAACTGGATCTCTGTTTTCCCAACAAAACTAATTCCTCTTTGTTTTTTCTAAGGTGAACAAAAAGTACTTAATTCTTGCAAATAACAAGTCAGTTTAAATTTGAGGTTTGTTAGACTCAAAAAACAAATTACTTAGCTGTTGCAGAAGAGTTTGTGGAATCTTTGGGAATGTTCTCATTGAAAGCGAGGATACTGATTATATGAAAAGTCTATTACTAACTCTTATTTTAGCCATTTATATTAACTTTGAATCTCTCAGGTGCAGAATTTACTTGAGTTAATCTTTTCACCTATAAGGGATCCTGGCTTGTCTTAGAAAAACAACACACACAAAAAACTTGTCAAACTGTCTTTAGAGCCACCAAATAAATCTGTTTTATAGTCCCATTAGATACCTAGCTCAAAATCCCATTCACTCTGGAAGGTCCTATGGTTGGATGCACAACAAATTTCCTGAACTCATCTCTGGTACACCTCCTTTGGGTTGTTAAGAAGGTGTTGAAATGTGAGAAGTCTGGTAGTGAAATTAAATTGTGGCTCAGGGTAATTAGAAAGGGAGAAATCCAAGCATTTCATAGCACATTGTCTGGCCTTAGTTGCAGCTGCAAACAACGGATATGAATTTAACCAGTTGCTACAGTGCAGCTGGTTCAGATCTGGCTTTACAACTGGCTAAAGTAAAATGAAATGGCTGGAAAATTCCAGTCAAGTAACACCAGTGAGAACATGTGGGATTAAATAGTGTGAGCAAATGCTGGCTGAGTTCAGGAAAAAAACTTCAGACATAAACTTGAGGGTGGTGGTGAGGACTCGTAGAGAGAGGGGCAGGAGGGGGCCAGGGCCTTTTCTGGCCTTTTTAACAAGGGTCTATTGTTTTGATTAGTTTCCTTGCAGGAGGTGGTTCCCTCCATCCAGAGTAATTTGTAGTGTGTTGGCCTGTCTACCTTCCTCCTTGACTGAAGTCACCTGATACTTTTTTTTTCCCTCCCAGAAGAAAGAAAAATAAGCTGTTACCTCAGTGACTGACAATAACACAAATCTCAAAATGTAGTCCTTTTTTCTTGGGGACCGTTTTCCCACCTTGTGAGACCAGGAGGTCTTGTCTCTTCCTTTCACCACCTGCACGGGAGATGTTGAGAGTGTTAGAGGCCTAGGTGCTCAAAGGTTCAGTTTTTTTTAAATAATTGTTCTCACTAAGGAAAGAAAGTGGGTTCACTAAAGGGAAGCGTTTGTATTATCGAGGGTTTTTTCTCTCCATGAATTGTCTGCTTGATTTGGAGAATTGAGAGTTGGCTGGGAGAATTCTGAGAGGCTGCAGGGCCGTGTGCTATTTGGGGAAAACATTTGCTGTAACTAGGTTTAGGGTATTTATTCTCTGCCAGTGCTTGGGAGCTGTATTTGCCAAGTGATTTTCCTGTCGCAGGGATTAGGCGGTCATGTGAAACATTTGATTAAGAGATGTAGAGAGATCTTTCCTGAGGCCCTTGCTTGGTAGCTGTGTGGTAGCTGCCGCTGGGATGACCCCTCAACTCTCTGCTACGTCCCCAGTGGTCACAAGTAAGTTTGTAGTGTTTAGTCATGGGATATTTTTTTTTACAGTCCAATAAAGAAACCTTTTAGGAATCAAAGTTCCGGTAGGTATATTGTTAACTGCCTAATTGAGAAAGGAATCTTTTTTTCTCAGAACTATTCCACTCATCTGCTTTTGGAAAGAGACCAGATATAAACGATCAATAAAAACTGCCTATATCCCAACAGCAACATTGTTCTGACTCAGTAAAGAGACATTTTCCTCATGCACATCTCTGGACTTGTGTTAAATGTTCATTCTAAACACACAGGACTTCTTAATTTTTCCTCACAGCAACCTTCTTCTTGGTGAGGGGCTGAATGTGGAGGTTCTTTCTCTAGCTATTCAACTCCAGAGTGAGGAAAGCTCTTGATACAGAGGGATGCACCGTCCTTTTCCCTCCCGTTGTGTTAAACTGTGCATGTTCCTCCTTCCCACAGATCACGATCATCTTCAAAGCCCACCGTGAGTGTACAGATCAGAAAGTATACCAAGCTGTGACCGATGACCTGCCGGCTGCCTTTGTGGATGGCAGCACCAGCGGTGGGGATGGTGACGTCAAGAGCCTGCGAATCGTGGAAAGGGAGAGTGGCCGCTACGTGGAGATGCACGCCCGCTACATAGGGACGACGGTGTTTGTGCGGCAGCTGGGTCGCTACCTGACCCTCGCCATCCGCATGCCTGAAGACCTGGCCATGTCCTACGAGGAAAGCCAGGACCTGCAGCTGTGTGTGAATGGCTGCCCCCTGAGCGAGCGCATCGACGACGGGCAGGGCCAGGTGTCTGCCATCCTGGGGCACACCCTGCCTCACACCTCTCTGGCACAGGCCTGGCCCGGCTACACACTGGAGACTGCCAATGCTCAATGCCACGAGAAGATGCCAGTGAAGGACATCTATTTCCAGTCCTGTGTCTTCGACCTGCTCACCACTGGTGATGCCAACTTCACCGCAGCTGCCCACAGCGCCTTGGAGGACGTGGAGGCGCTGCACCCCAGGAAGGAACGCTGGCACATTTTCCCAAGCAGTGGGCACGAGACGCCCCAAGGAGGCAGCCATCGGTCTCTCAGTCTAGGACTCACGTGCTTGATCCTTGTTGTGTTTTTGTAGGGGTTGTCTTTTATTTTTTTGTCTATAACAAAATTTTAAATATATATTGTCATAATATATTGAGTAAAAGAGTATATATGTATATACCATGTATATGACAGGATATTTGTCCTGGGACACCCACCAGATTGTACATACTGTGTTTGACTGTTCTCACGTATGTTGGATGTAGTGTTCTTTGATTGTATCGATTTTATTTTGCAGTTTTGTGAAATGTTTTATAATGTCCCTGCCTGGGGACCTGTTAGAAAGCACTTTATTTTTTATATATTAAATATTTATGTGTGTACCTGGTTAGTATGTATAGTACGTATACAGAGACACCATACCCAGCGACCCTTTGAGTATGACCAGTGATGACGTGTGTAGCTGTTCTTGGCCGCCCCCTCTGCCCTTTCCCATTGCTACTGATTCCCACAGTGTGCAGCCTCCTGTTCCTTTGAGCTCCTCACCTCTTTTGTCCTCACTTGATTGGAAGGATGGTTAACTCTTCCTTACAGGTGCTTTTTGGCAGTTAAACACCGATGTTGAGGAAGCCCTCACCCTCTCTCACAGCTGTCACTTCCCCAGGGGGTAGGGAGAACATTACTATGACCTTTAGGATTGTTATATGTGAGAACTTACGGCATGTTAAGTTGAACCATATGAAACTGCTGTTTTTATAGGTCAGAAGGGGCAATTTCATCAAATAACCAGGCATTTTGCTAGACTCCCATAGCTCTGCCTTTCTCATCCCCTGTCCCTTTTTAAACTATAGTGTTTTTCCCCCCTCTTTCAACTCTATTTTGCATTGAACAAACAAATGGCCAAAAAAAAACCCAAACAAATTTAGCGATGCTGTCTTGCTGTAGAATTAATGGGAGGCCACTTTCTTAGCCTTCTTTACCGAGGCCCAGATCCCATCACAGATCCCACTCTTCCGTGCCCTCCACTGTGTTCTTCGCCACAGCCTGACCTGTTTGCATGATGGAATGGAATGGGTGTCAATGACAAGCTTCCTTGGCCTGACTCAGTGCTACTTAATGTAGACATTCTCATTAAGCAGCATTTCTTCCCAGGTGGTCCCTTTCTAATCACATATTCTCGTAACAGTTGTAGGTGAATATTATTCAGTCAGTTGCTCATGTAACTTGGTAAAATCCCCATAAAATATAAAAACTCCTACCTCTTCAATTCCATTGTTGGCACTCCCCTGCACAAGGAAAATAACAGGCAAGCACAGTAACTGAGAAAAGTAAACACAATAGGTAGGTTTATATAGTCCAATGGTTCTCAACCTGTGGGTCGCGACTCCTTTGGTGGTCGAACAACCCTTTCACAGGGGTTGCCTAAGACCATCCTGCATATCAGATATTCACGATTCATAACAGTAGCAACATGACAGTTATGAAGTAGCAACGAAAATAATTTTATGGTTGGATCACAACATGAACTGTATTTAAAGGGCCAGAAGGTTGAGAACCACTGATATAGTCATATCTCAAATGTGCTTGAATCCAAGAAAAAGTGATAGAATTTGTGCTTTACCTTAAGTTTCCATTAATGTAAGCAACAGTTAATAAACTTTAAATACCATAGCAATTTGGGTCAAGATTGTGCTAAATTTCAGTTGGCCAGGTAACATCTCCCCTTCACCATGCTCCGTTGATTAGCACTGCCAGAGGCTCAAACTGGCAGGAAAAGAGGATGTCATTTTTCTGAAGTTCTTTTTCTTAATGAACCGATCTGTCATCATCCAGTCCCAGGATGGAACTGTGGGTTCACCCAGAAGTGGCAAACGTCCTCTCTTAGGGCAAACGAGAGAATAATCAGGCCAGTTCTAGGGGAAAATGAGGGCATCCTGCTGCTTAACAAACATTCAACACCAGAAAGCTGAAACTCAACCTGTCATCCTTTTATAAAAACGAGGGGCCTACCTACTACCATTAGCTCCGAACTGTGGCTGCTGTTGTTCACTTAGGGAACCATGTGCCAGGGTCAGAAGCTATAGCTAGTTAGTAGTTTTGTTTTGAAATTGAGAAGGAGAGGAAATGGGGTACTTCTAACCACACTATGTTTGTGCAAATAGTATAAAAGTGAAGTAAAAACGAGTAGACAATTCTAATATCTGGGTTTGGAGTGTGTATGATTAATATATCTTTGTCTTTTTGTAGGGAAAGCAAAAGAAGCATCTCTACTAATAGCTGGGAAAAGAAAATTGAACCGTTTTGCCATCTATAACTGGAAAGGATGTTTAGAAGCATCCTACATCACTAGGATTAGCACCAGTGTACTTAGCTATTCCCTCTTAATCACCAGTGTCCCTGTACAACACTTAAAATCCTCAGAGATAATTGTTGCAGAAACACTGGTGTTTCTCTAGAGAAGGGCCAGCTTCATTTCTCCTGTTTCTTTTCTGGAATTTCTAGAGAAAATGCAACTTGCACATGTTGGTTCTTAAAATGCTCCTTAACCAGACGAGTTCGGGTGACACCAACATGTGGACAAGCTGTAGCTGTTCCAAGGTCTCCTGGGGAGCCTCAGACTTGGAGGGAAACACTGGTTTTCACAGATGCTCCACATGGCTATCTTTAAAAGACTCAAAACATTTTTGTCCCCTTTTTATGCTTGGAAACCCCACAGTGTGTCCAGTCTTTAGATGTGGTTCATAGGTATATGAATAAGTATCTGTGTAAAACAGTGAGTGTGCAGTGTGTAAATACTTTAAATTATTATGCTAGAAAAATAAAGTTAACATACCAAGCTGTGGAATGTTTGTTCTGTGGTTATAGTGACACCTGCTGGAAGAGCTGAGAAACAGCAGAAGAAAGGAAGTGAGGGTGTTTGTGCAAAATCCTCTACGGTTGCTGACAGCAAGTTGTACCACCTGCCCACGAACTGACTTATTTTCTGAACTGTATCACTACGGTAGTGCCTCCTTTTTTAATTTTAAGCAATTTCAAATGAGCATCTGCTAGATTGGTCCACTGGTGTTACCCCGGAGGCCTGTTCTCAGTAATAGTTTTGGTCCCTTGCAGACATGGGACTTGCACTTTGGTTCTTGAAGGCAGTATGCACAGAAGTGACTTACTCCTGGTGGGGAAGATCTTGAGGGCAGGACTTTCTAGCTTTGCAATTTTTAAAATCCCTGCTTCCTGGGTATTCTAAAAAGAGACATCACAAGATTACACGTTTAAGGAACATGCCAAAGAGTAAAGAAGTTTGAAGAAGAATTAACCCAAAGAAACAGGAAAGCACTGTTACTGCTACTAGGTAGAATGGTACATGAAGCAAATGTTGATTGAGGGGAACAGACACGTAATCGTTGCTTAAGTGAAAAGCTATGTAGACCACCAGTTCATAACAAATGAAACAGGAAAATAAATTGTCAGTTGAACCACACAAAGATGACAGCGATCTAGCCACTGAGTACCTAGTACATAGGTCTGTACCAAGTGAACACTAAGAAATAATCTACAGCACAATGAAGTCTATGCTTAAAAAGCAAAAATTCTTTTAACATACTCTATGGCCAGACCCTCCAACTTTTCAAAAATTGAAACTTGAGCAACTGTCCAAAAACCCAAAAGGGAGGCACTTGGCAGCATTCTGTTGCCTGGAGGCAGCTATAATAATAGTCTTGCATTGCTTCAGTCCTTTCTGAGCAAAGATACCTTGCACAGTTTTCCTTCCTGTTCCCTTAAATTTGCACGTGAACCAAGAAGCATCTCCCCCACCATTGAAGAAAGAGGAGCCACTTCAGTTATTTCACTGCCTTGCTCATCATAGTGCTGCTGCTTCCATGCATTTTCTGTATGTCTTCCAAATGGACAACTCATACTCATACTATCATTATTTAGACTAGAGGCCCAGTGCACAAAATTCATGCAGGGTATGGTCCCTAGGCCTGGCCTGCAATCAGGGTCATCTTCCCCAGCTACCAACAGCCGGCCCCGCCCCCCGCCGCCACCCACTTCCGATTCCCTGTTCCCCATCAGCGATCAGAGCCTGCAGGACAGGGGGAAGGGACTGAGAGGTTGGCCAGCAGTCCCCAAATGGGCGATCGAGGCTTGTGGGCTGGGGACAGCTCCTGTGTTGAGCGTCTGCCCCCTGGTGGTCAGTGCACGTCATAGTGACTGGTCGTTCCACTGTTTGGTCGATTTGCATATTACCCTTTTATTATATAGGATTATTATATAGGATGGTATTTTCCTTTGAATTTCCTGCTCTTCTTCCCTTAACACATTTCGGACCGCTCAGGAGTTTTCTCTTGTTTCGCGCGCCATCTGTTAAGGACCTCTCACGAGTGTTCTCATTTTACGCGCCCATGGAAAAAGGAGCAAATCTAGATACTTCTGTAAATTTTGTTTGGTCCCTCTTCATAGAGGAAAATGTTTTACGCAGTACGGTACATTAAAAAAGTACTAGGAACTTTAATTGTTTGTTTTTATAAATAAAAATGTTATAATTATTGAAAAACAACACCTAAAGTGCATTATGATGATTTAAATAACGTGCAGTTTGCCCCAGAACATGCGGTTCCTGGCATATGTCTTAGAGATTTCTATGCGGTACGCAATGTGTTACGTACCCCTAGTAAGCAAGATGTTTGACATCAAGGAAATAGAATATACAGTCCTTTATACCCAACATGTGATGTCTGTGAGGTATGTGCAGGTGAACATGGAGAGTGGAGCCTCCAGTGCCCAGGGGGATACACTCACAGATCCTCCTGAGCCGGGATGTACACCCTTGGCCTCATTAGAATGAGGCTCAAACCAAATGAACAAACCAGTCCTATCAACTAGAATATATTAAAGTCAGTCCATCCAACTCCAGCAAGAAGAAAGCAACAGGGCAGTTTCCTAATTGAGAGTTCCTCATGTGGGACAGTTCCATGACCCATTTTTTATTTCAACTTAAAATTGCTAGCATTTTGCTACCAGATTGAATATACATGATCAACCACGTGCAAATTAACCAAGTAGAAATTGCATCTGCCATAAGTGACATTTAAAAACAACAACAACAACAACACCGGATTACCTCCATGATGCTATTGGATGGCGCCAAGGACTTCCAAAGCCTTCCAAGGGGAAGCAGTAAGGTAGGAGTCATTGAATGTGAGGGTGAGGGAGGACAATAAATTTATTTTCCAGCAAGACTGTCTTGTGAGCTGCCTAAGACGTAGCACTCAATACACATCCTTCGAAGTGTTCCTGGGATGGAGAATTCTGTGTTCACTTGGAGGAGCACTTCCTAGAACCACATGTGCATTTGCACCCCTATGTGCATCCTAGCATTTAGAGC